AAATCATTAAATTAGGAAGATTGAAGAAGTAAACATAGTGTCAGGTGATGTTTTTAGATTCAGAGGAAGAACAAGAGATGCAGCAGACTGGCTAAGGAGCATGAACATGGGAGTCCAAGGATTCACCCACTTGAAACTGTTTGGTAGAAGCAAAAACGAATTTGGTCATCAACAAGGTTACCGTATAATTTTCTAAACTGGGACACTTTTAAGTGTAAAAAGTTAATAATAACAGTTATTAATAACACTGGGATGACAGGCATAATAAAGGACTGTACTGGCCAGACCGGGAAGTCTGTTCCTCTAGTTACTAAGGAAATGCCCTATAAATTGTCCATCTTGGATAGAACATTCCTGGATGGATTCAGGAAACAGTAAGTTGGGCCAGAGGGACGATTTTGGAATTTCTAATAGATTGTATCTTGGGGATCAATAAGATCATTCAAGCGAGAAAGTACAGAGTGAGGAGAACAGGGTCAAAATCCAGGTCAATGAAAGGCATTAGGGAAAACACTGGAAAGTCCACGTCCTGGGTGAAGGGTGGAGTGTGTTTGTTAGAAGTTTACGTTAGAATAAATCAGTTGACTATGTTTACGTTAGAATCCGTTAGGGTTCTGTCAGTTAATCACTGCTGCTCAAATTAAGCAAGAATATCATTCTCTGCACTGAACATTGTGGAATGTGTGTTAAAAAAAAAATAGCCTTCCCTTTGCTTACACAGAGCTAAGTGAGCCTGGTCTTTCAAAAATAATTTTATAAAAATTAAGGGAATAATCATGGAGAATCAAAAGCACATAAAAAACAGATTCCAAAGAAGAGATTTTATTTATCATGATTTATCATGGTTCAACTTCATAGGTATCCTGTCTTTCTCCTCTCAGCCAGTTACCCAACTCAATGTGACAAGGAAGAGATTTAGTGACTCCTAATCATCATTTTATCTTTTCAGCCATTTCCTATGAAGGGAGGATCTAAATCTGGGGGCTCCATGTGGGCCTGTGCACTTGAGACACACACTTCTTCCGGACCACCCAGCTGGGTAGATGCTACAGCGTGAGAGGAAATGCCTGACACTCACCTGTTTACAAGCAACAAATGCATCAGGCAGACCACCACCTGACCAGAGGACACTGGCCTGCCCAGAGATGACTTCTAGGATGCTGGATATAAATGTCCAGAAGACAATTAAAAAGCCAGATGTGGAGATTTGGGTTTGGGACTAGTTATAGCAGAAGCCCAGTTAAAGCTGAAAGACTGGGTGAGTTCTTAAAAAGCAGGACTAGCCAGCTGTGAATGGAGCTTGGAAGCTGCTTATGGTTAAACAAAAGAGAAAAATCTGGAAAAACAAAGAAAAAAACCTTGTTATCAAAGTCAGAGTGGAAACCAAGAATGGAAGAGTTTGGGGGGACGAGTTGGCATTATACAGTTAACCCAGAGAGACCACATAAGAACATGAGTGGTAGGAAGCCACTGCTTTGGCAATATATAAACTATATAATCTGCTCCTGCAGTAAAAAAGACACACACCCCCAAATAAAAAAATCTCTTTAGCCTGGCTGATGTGGCTCAGTAGTTGAGCATGAACCTATGGACCAAAAGGTCATGGTTCAATTCCCAGTCAGGGCACATGCCCCAGGTTGCAGGCTTGATCCCCATGGGGGATATGCAGAAGGCAGCCGATCAACCCCAGGTTGCAGGTTTGATCCCCATGGGGGATATGCAGAAGGCAGCCGATCAATGATTCTCTCTCATCATTGATGTTTCTATCTCTCCCTCTCCCTTCCTCCCTGAAATCAATAAAAACATATATATATTTTTAAAAGACTCTCTTTATATGAGAGCTTCAACAGCAAAGATGCACACAATCTCCCTAATATGTTTCTCTGCAGGAACTTGACGTGTCAAAGTTCTCATGATGGAAGAGTTTCGCTAAGAAACTTTTCTGCCTGCTCACACTAAGTGATGAAAACAAAGGTTCACCCTCAGTGATTGGTTTAGCTCTGGAGTCGTCACAGGCCAGCTTTAGTGTGAGGAACTCCTATCACCAAATACTAAATTGCAATCTGCATAAATTGCTTAACCATTGGGGAAAAGACCAAGGACAAAAATGGAAAAAGTACTGATTTGGGAATTTGATCTTCTATGAATTGACCTTGGAGAATTAGTTATGCAATTTTCCAAGACTTAATTTTTTCATCTGTAAGATGAGGTGATTAGACTGGATGAGCTATGTATCTTTGAACTCTGAAATCCCATGATCCTTTAGTGAAAAACAGTGGAAACTGAGGTCACCTTCTTGGGTACTACTACCTTATGTAGTCTGGACACATAAAGACTACCATAGAGAGGAAAAATATTTGTCTTTTTGGGCCTCAGCTTGTGGTCGGTACAGAACCTTTTTACTCACATGATTACTTCAGACTTTTTTTTCCACAGAAAACTGCTCTTTATAACTTAGTTGTAAATGGATTACCTCTATGGAGAGCTATCTCAGTCAGAACATAAACTTTGTAAGAGGCAAATGATTCAAGAATATTTTCCAATGCCTTTCACTAGGATGGAAGGCAGAATGGTATAGTGTGAAGAGTAATTAAATCAGGCAATCTGGGCTTCCTTCCCAACTTCTATCTATTAATCTCTCCAGGGTTTAAATGTACTTATAATCATAAAAATCATAAAATGAAGTTAGACTGTAAGATTATGTATCTACTCCAGGGCTAAAATAAATTATTGTAATCTATCATTTTACTTGGAGGTGTGTGAATGTTGTCAGTCAATCTCATTTTTTAAAATATTTCTTTTCTTATTCAAAATTCATCTTATGCTTCTTAAAGTAAGAGAACACAGGGTGAGACATCTTCTAAGTGAGAGAGAGAGAGAGAGGTTACAGTTCCCTTTATTCAACAATCCATCTTATGCTTCTTAAAGTAAGAGAATACAGAGTGAGACATCTTCTAAGTGAGAGAGAGAGAGGTTACAGTTCCCTTTATTCAACAATGGCAGAGCACCCACACTTGCCAGGGGCCTGGGTATCCATAAGCCATCCTTGATTATCAAAAGCACCAGGCCTGCCCTAACCGGTTTGGCTCAGTGGGTAGAGCGTCGGCCTGCAGACTGAAGGGTCCCGGGTTCGATTCCGATCAAGGGCATGTACCTTGGTTGCGGGCACATACCCAGTAGGGAGTGTGCAGGAGCTGTTCGATGCTCTCTCATTGATGTTTCTAACTCTCTATCCCTCACCCTTCCTCTCTGTAAAAAATCAATAAAATATATATTTTTAAAAAGCACCAGGCCTAATAAGGAGTCCTAATTAAGGAGCTGAGCTGCAACACTGCGCCCTACACTGCAGGGTGACACAAGTTGGGGAGCAGGCTCCTCTCTCTGCCTAGCATGAGGTTCATTAGCTGAATATTCTAGATCAGTCATGCTCAGGTTCTGCTTCACTCATTTGTTTTTGCTTTTTGCCTTTAGGCTGAGCACACATACACCCCCTCTTATCAGTAACATATTGTTTTAAACTCAAAGATTTTCTTTAAGGGGTGAAGACAGGCTGCAAACTACCCCTTTCAAGCTCCTTTCTGGCATCCAATGCAATTCACAATAACAGAAGTTATCCAATAAGGAGCTTCAAGTACACATTTTTAGTTATTCTTGAGGTCTCCATCTGGATGGACATAACACAGCACTTAAATTCAGCATGTGTAAACCCACATTCTATCTTCTTGATCACAATGACGCCTCTTTTCTCTTTCTGAAAACATCACTGTTATCCTTCTATTCAGTACCCTCATTTCCCATATCTGATCTGTCTTCAATCCTTAGGATATTTCTAGTCTGTAATATCTCTTATTATTTCTACCACTCTCATCATCTTTAATCTAGTTGATTATTTTGCTCCTTCAATGGCTTTACTCTGACTAGGAAATAAAGCCCAAACTTCTTAATATGTCACTTAAGGTCCATGACATCATATGATATTCCCAGTCCAATCTTATTTCTTCTCACTACTCTTCATTAACTCAATTGGAGTTCTTACCCACCTGCCCTTCCCAATCTCTGTTCCTATTGCTCCCTCCATCTGAACTACTCTTTCCCCTAGTGATGATGGCAAATCTAACGCACTCTGCAAGGCTCCAAATGATTTCTATCTCCTCTAGAATGAGTCATGTATGAACCCAACATCCCTGCAACTCTGCTCTCTGAAATATATGCACTCTCTCCCTTTTTTCCACAAAAATAAAAATGTGCATTATTATCCTCTTTTAGCCATACCTATTACCCTACTTTTTAAGAAAATTTATTTTCAATTATAGTTGACATTTTATTACCTTGTTTTAATTTTTTGTACTTCTCTTATCCTACAGTTTTCTTTTACTCTACACCCTTACCACTGGACCTAATGGCATAAATGATCCCTACAAATGATAGCACACACAGTGTCCTGCACTCAAAAGCTTTCTAATAACTTATTATGGCTAGAGCATATTCTTTCCAAAGTGGCTTAACTAGAAAAAAGAAGCACAAATAGATGGCTCACCATATTATGTTATTTCCTTAATAATCAGAATCCACAGCCCCCTCTATCAGTGGGCCAGCACCTATCGGGTGTAATGAGGCTGTTCATGTTAGAGAGCATGTATTTGAGACTTGGCCTTCCCTCTAACTAGTATCATGGCCTTGGTACTGAATCAAACAACCCAGCAGACTAATCGATACCAACCATTTTTTCCTAATTTTAGATGAGACAAAATATCTAAAATTACTCCCACATTTCTTGTTAACAAACTCCAAACATATTTTTTTTGCAAAAAGTCTCATATACTCTTGACCGTATCTGCTAGACAGAAAAAAGTCAGTTCATATAGGTAGCTAATCATCTCCTGCAATGGTACCACTTAGTCGTCTATTATTCCACTGACATACACACAAGTCAACAGCAGACAACTTTGCCACTCATCAAATTACAGCTGTGTAATGAGGTCAGCTGCTACCTGACACACCTTAAAACCCTTTGAAGCAGCAATATGGGCAGCAGTCCATCCTTCTGTGTCGGCATGGTTAATGAGGTCTGCAGAAACAACAGGTTTGGCTGTGCCTTCAGGACTCTCTTCTTCTCCATCCAAGTCCAAGAGATCTGACTTGGTCTCCTCCTCATGCAAGGAATTTCCACAAGCTGGTGCTCTGTGGTACATAAGAAGCTTGAGGCTGTCCACATGACCAGTGTCCACAGCTGCGTGAACTGGTGTCCAGCCATCCTGAAAATAAAATGACCAAGGGAAATAGTTAATTACAACACTAATATTGAGAACAGCATTACTTGAAGTTCACCTCTAAATGTTTCTGGGCTTGGACCTCTGAGCTGGGAAAAGCAGGCGTTCCAATCCTGAATATCACTGGGGAATTGAGTTCTTAAGAAGTTCTCTGACCTGTCAGTTAGTGTATTTCTCATTGCTATGACTCATGTTTGCTATTTTGTAAGAATTTCCACTTAATATTAACCAATTGAAATGAGTAGACACTACCCAAGCCAGTAATTAAGTATTTATTATGTATGGAAAACCCCAATCTCAATTTAATACTACAAAAGAGAATGAACTTCAGCATAAAACGATTTTTTGAAATGTATATCTAACTACAATGTTATTAGTAATGTACTAAATGAATGCTATTATAAGCCAGTTTTACTTATAGGGCAGAATCCTAATTCTAGTGATCTTAAAATTTTATGTCAATAATTCCAGAAGATCCTCAATAATAGGGAAAAGTTAGACATACAGGAAAACAAAGCCGAAGTACTTACTGGGGTGCCCATGGGCCTCTATTGAGTGTTCTGTGATTGCAGTGGGTCACTGATACATGCAAACTTACAAAATGTTCCAACTAAAATGACTGGGCCTATTCTCTCAATGTTACCGGGAAGCCTCAATCATTCACCTTGCTGGTTGCTGGAATAGACTCAACTCTTTTCTAGGGCAATGGTTCTCAGGTGTGGTCCCATGACCAGCAACATCAGCATCACCCAGAAACTTGTTAGAAATGCAAAATCTTGAGCATCACTCAAAACCTACAGAATCAGAAACTCGTTGGGTGGGGCCCAGCAATCTGCGGTTTAACAAGCCCTCCAGGTGATCCTGATGCACTAGGGCAGGGGTGGGCAAACTTTTTGACTCGAGGGCCACAATGGGTTCTTAAACTGGACCGGAGGGCCGGAACAAAAGCATGGATGGAGTGTTTGTGTGAACTAATATAAATTCAAAGTAAACATCATTACATAAAAGGGTACGGTCTTTTTTTTTTTTTAGTTTTATTCATTTCAAACGGTGCCGGACCCGTCCTGCGGGCCGTAGTTTGCCCACAGCTGCACTAGGGTGTGACAAGCACTATTCTAGGGAAAATATGGTCCCCTGTAAAGCAAAACGTTTTTTATATAGAGATGGCTCTCCCTTCTACTCATGTACCTATTGTCATTAAATTTTTAAGACTTTCATTACAAAAAAATATACTGAGCTTTATTCTGGTGATCTGTGTTTTAGCTTTATTTTATTTTACTATCTTTATTTTCCCACTGGCAAGTTTTTTTCATGTGGCATTTCATATTGCTATGCTAAATATCTCTCAGTGAGCTTCAGCACTTAAAAAATAGGGTACAAGATAGGGAGGAGAGGAAGAAAAAACGGCAGGGCAGCCGAACAGGCAGAAGTGTAGTGCACCTCATCCGGGGCCAGACTGGAAATACAGCTAAATCGGAGAACATCCACCAGGAAGTAACAAATTAGGCCCAGCTCAGGAGGCAATTTTAAGGAAGGACAGAAAATGCCTGGAGACTGGTAGGAAGTGTGGCGAGGGCTTGAGAGGGGTGACAGGGAGGGGGGCACAGACTTGAGGTGGCTGAGGAGGGAAGCAGGGCTGGGAGAAGTGGCCAGGAGTCCTGCACTGGGAAGTTCTTAGGCTTCCAAACCTAAATGGCCATTTCTCTCCAGAGGAGCTAGCCCCTCTCAGTAGCCTCAGGGCAGGAGATACAGCCTGCCACACCCTGCAATTTGAGCTTTACAGAGGAAACAAAGGCAAAGACCAAGCTTGTGGGTCTGAATAGTCTGAAGGAGTCCTCAGTGACTATTCTGGGAACCAGACTGATAAAAACTCCAGATTGCCAGCCCACCCCATTGATTGCCATACAAGGATGGCTGTCCAAACAAGGACAGAGTAATATTTTGGGCCACTCGTGGAGGAGTAGCTCTGGGTCAGGAAAAAACATCCATCATATTCCCTAAAAGTGAAACAGCCCAACCTAAAGCCCTGTCAGAAACAAAGAGGGCAGATTGGTCTCGCCTACTTGCAGCCTAGGCCTGTGGAGACAGACACAAGCAGAGGACCTGTGGATCACCTGGAGCTTCAGGCAGGGTGCTAAACGCCAAAAGACAGTGCCTGACAAACAGGAAGCCCAGAATTGGCAGACAGACAGAAGAGTGGGGACCTAAACCAGCTCCCAGGGGGCATTAAAACTCGGTTGAAGCGAAAGGACCCTTCACTTCACTTTTTTATTTTTATTTAAAAAATTTTTTAATTATTTTTTATTTTTTGCACCTTTTTCGTCCTCTCTTCTTTTTCCCCTCACATGTTCCTTCTCCTTTTCTCTGTTTTAGTATTTCTCTTTCCTTCCCCATTTTAAAAATTGATCTTCTTTATCTGCTTCATTGATCTGTTATTATGCTAGTCTCTGTTGGTTAATTCATATATAATTTTCTCCTCTCTGCTCCTACTCCATTTCCCCTTCTTTTCTTTTTCCTCACTACTCAATTTTTTTTTCTCTTCTCTTGCTCTTCTCCTAATTTTTAAACTTGTTTCACTTCCTAAATTCACGTGTATATGCTCTCTCCACTATTTCTTTTAAAAAACATTTATTTTTCTTCTTATCTTCTCATTTCTTTTCTCCCTCCTCTACTCTAAACCATGGTCCTCCCCCTATCCCTCCAATTCCTTAGCCTTCTTTTCTTTTATTTTCTTCCCCAAATTGAAGAAATCATGTTTTTAACTTTAATTGAGTTATTTCAAATCACAAATTCAGAGACTTGTAAACATGCAGTTCAATCCCACCCCCAGGCAGGGGGAAAGAGAGGAAAGAGGATTCATTCTGATATTTATGGATCCAAGAAAGTTGTAATATTGTGCTTGGAATACACAGAACCAGCTATTAACTCCTTGCTACTATAACAAATACTAACAGTTCAGTCCAGGTTATTGTGAACTCTGACAGATCAAGGAAAGAAGTTATTTTCTCCTCTTGTGATTATAGGACATTGCCAGATATGTTTGCCTTAGTAATAAATGTCCTGGAATTCAATTCATGTACTTTCAACAGTTTGTCAAAAAAGAGCCAATAAACAAATATTGAATTACATTTTGTTGGGTCTTTCAAACCTTCAAGCTCCAGACTATAAAAAGATCTATGTGTCTCCCACCCTGATCATCCGAATACTTTTCCAGATAGCACTGACCACCCATAGATACAAAGCCAAGGGTGAAGCTGACACGGTCTATTTGGAGCCAGTAGACAGGAGGGCGATGAGACCTGATGAAGCACTTATGGACAGAATATAGTTCACTGTGGGGTTGAAGTTCTTCAATATAAAGAAGGTTGCAACAATGACCAAGACCAGGAATAGAGTGTTGTTATAGAAGATGGAAAATGTAGCTTCATACTCAGCAACTTCATTCTTCTCCAACAAGAATCTTTTCATTTTTTTACTTCAGAGACATCTTTGCATTATCAGCTTCAGAAAGTTTTCAAGTTACTTCTTTGGAAGCAGCATCTTCCCTCTTCTGTGCTATGTTGTGGTAGAGTAAAAATTTCACATTTTTGTAGGCAAAGGCTACCAAATAAGTGCTTACAAGTGTCATCACACTGTACAGAACAGCAGACTGAATAGGATCCATATGCCATATTCGCCAGTATAACCAGATGGTGATGGCGGATACGATGAAGGCATTCCCAAAAAAGGGTGCGGAGCACTTGGGTAAGAGGATGCGATTGAAATCCTGAAGGAGCAGGTCCTTCTCGGACAGCTGCTTGGAGCTGCCTTTGAGAACAATGGTGGAGCAGGAGCTGGGCCTTATTTTCTTTATTTAAGCTCTGCATCTATACAGATTCTGACCCCCCCTCCCTCCTCGTCTTCTGGGTGTTCTCATTTATGCCTTTTGGTGTGTTTTCTGTTTGTTTCTTTATTTTGTTGTGTTTTAGTCCAATAATCTTTCTTTCTTTCTTTCTTTCTTTCTTTCTTTATTTTTTTTTGTTTGTTTCTTTATTTTGTTGTGTTTTAGTCCAATATTCTTTCTTTCTTTTTTTTCTCTATCATTCTTGCTCTCATATTTTATCTTTCCTAATTCTCTTTTCTCTGGTGGTCACTTTTGTTGGGGTAATAGGTGTCTTGTGTATATTCATGCACTGTTCCTTCTGTGTCATGTCTTTTCGTGTTGCATTTTGTGCTGTTCAGTCAGCACCTCCACAACGGCTAGAACAATGTGGTAGGGAGCGAGCCACATAAACAGACACCCTGAGAGGAGACTCTAACCATTAAAGGGACAATAACATTCAAGACCCAACTACATCAGGAGAACCCAAATAGCTCAAGTAAGAGGCCTCCCTAGAACACCCAGCCTAGGGTGACCTGAGAGACTGCACCACTGGGTCCCACAAAGCATCTACTACATAAGACCAATCCAAAAAACTCTGAGTGGCATATCAGTTTGATCTAATACATAGAAACAATTACAAAGGAGCAACCCCCAAATGAAAGAAAACAAGGAATCACCAGAAAAGGAACTAAATGAAATGGAGTCAAGCAATTTGTCGGAGAAAGAATTCTGAGTAATAGCTATAAGGATGCTCAAACAACTGAATGAGAAATTCACCATGTGTAAGAATCAAGAGGAAATGAATGACATAGCTACAATAAAGGACACAATGGAATGTTTCAGCAGTAGACTAGAAGTAGCTGAGGACCGAATCAGGGAGTTAGAAGACAAAGTAGAAAAATTCACCCAAGCAGAACAGCAACTGGAAAAAAAAAATTAAAAGCAGGAGGTGAGTCTAAGGGAGCTTTGGGACAACATGCAATGAAACAACTTCTGCATAAGAGATGTACCAGAGAAGAGGAAGCTGAGCAAGGAATAGAAAACCTGTTTGAAGAAATAATAAAAGAAAACTTCTCTGATTTGGGGAAGAAAAAGGTCACATAGTCCAAGAAGCACAGAGTCC